TAATAATTTACATCCATGGCCATTAAGCTCCATTAACCTTGCAACATAGGGTTTGTGGTCAACAAAAAAAAAATCAGCTGAACAACTTAGATTTTCTAACTACTTTAACACAATAAAATGTCCCAAGGCACTTCGCAGGAGCATTATAAAACTAAGTAGGGCACCAAGCACATAAGGAGATATTACATCGAAAGATCAAAACCTCGTTGAAAGAAATACATTTAGTCCTTAATTGGAAAGTGAGGTGAAGAAGCAGAGAAATGTTGAGAGAATGTTCCAAACTTGTTTCAAGAAGGTGCAGCCACCAGTGTTGGAGCGATTAAAATTAGATTTGCACAAGAGGCCAGAATTAGAGGCAGATATCTTGGAAGATTATGAAACTGGAGAAGATTATAGTGATCACAAAAAATGTCATGCGGGATTTTAAAACCATAATTAGAATTCAAAAATCAAAAAGTTGTTTCACTGGAGCTCAGTATGATCAGTGAGTGCAGGTATGATAAAGAATGGGACTTGCGGTGAGTTAAGATACAGGCAGCTGAGTTTTAGCTAACCTATTGTTGACAATGCTTTGAATGTAGGTGACCAGCTAGGAGTATGTTGAGTTTGAGTCTGGAGGATAAGAAAGTTACAAATGAGGGTTTGAGCAGCAGATGAGCTGAGACCAGGAAGAAGTTGAACAATGTTACAGAGCGGGAATAGGTGATCTTTGAGATGGCGCAAATATGAGGTCAGAAGCTCACTTCTGGATCAAATGTGACGCTTATGAACTGACTAATATAAAGGCACACTGCTGCTAGGGAGAGTAATCTGTTTTTATACATCAGGGCTTGGAGGTGGTGTTCAAATCAATGGCTTCCACTTTGCCAATATTTAATTGAAATAAATTCCTGCTTGTCCAGTAGTGGATGTTGGATAGACAGCCTGATAACAGCAGTGTAGAAACCGAAAGCTGGGTGGCCTCAGCATTCATGTGGAAAATAACACAATGCCTTCAAATGTTGTTGCCAATGGGCAGCATGTGGATGAGCAAAAAGAGGGGGCTAAGGATAAATGGATCCCTGGTGGACACCAGAGGTAATGGTGCAGGTTCACAAAAAGGAGACTGGTGATTCTCTGACTATGATTAGTTAGATAAGAATGAAATTGTGTAAGATATATCCCAGCCAGCTGGACAACACTGTGAAGGGGTAGGAGGGGAATGCAGCAGACAGGTCAAGAAGGATGAGGAGATGGAAAGTTTAAGTTTATCATATTTGTATTGGATAACATGTGTGACTTTGAAAAGAGCTGTTCAGTACAATGGCAGGGACTGAAACCTGATTTGAACTAGATTTCTGATGCAAAAACACATTCAAGAACTTTGGAAAGGAAAGAGGGTTTGGGGTTAGGATGGAAGCTTGCAAGGATGTCGGTCAAGGGCTATTTTGTGAGGAGAGAGGATTGAAGATGTAAGGCAGAGAGGAACAGCACCCAAAGAGAGAGCCACATTTTTTTTCCTTTGTTCATTAACAGGATGAGGATGTTGCTGGCTAGGCAGCATTTATTGCCCATCCCTAATTGCCCAGAGGGCAATTCAGAGTCAACCACAATGCTGTGGGTCTGGAGTCACATGTAGGCCAGACCAGGTAAGGATGGCAGTTTCCTTCCCTAAAGGTCTTTAGTGAATTAGGTGGGTTTTTCCTGACGATCGACAAGGGATTCATGGTCATCATTAGATTCTTAATTCCAGATATTTTATTAAATTCAAATGCCACTGTCTGCCAGGGCGGGATTCGAACCCAAGTCCCTAGAATGTTATTTAGGTCTCTGGATTAATAATCCAGTGATAATACCACTAAGCCATTGCCTCCCCTTACGATATCAGTTAACGTGGGGGTCAGGAGGGGACATTTTGTGGCCATTAATTTCATAGGAATAAAACTGGGAAACAGGAGGTGGGTCTCACAGATACGATGAGCACAGAGAGGGTATGAAAGAGACTGGAGAAGGATGCAAATTTAGAATTGAGTGAGGAGAGAGGGCAATAGAAAAATTTGACTGATGGAAAGGAGGAGTTCACCAGTGACCAGGTTATCTTGATTTTAGTGACAAAGAAACTATCAAGCTCCTCACTTGAGTTTGGAGGAAACTGAGCAGATGAATGGAAAAAAAAACTGCCTGTGAAAGAGAAAAGAAGCCGGGATTATCTTGGTGACTCAGCTGTAAGATAACTGGGGATGCAGTGACGCTGCAGCATTTACATCAAAGTTGTTCTGGCTGTGGAATTAAACAAAAGGTGGCACCTTAATTCAGGAAATAAAATGACGAAAGTTACCAAACGTAATAAACCCCTGTGGTTTTACACACCCTCCAGGACCCCGGCATGAACTTGTTTAAGTCCATAAATATTCCAGCGTTGTACTAGACTGGAAAATACTTGGCTAGAAAATCCTTAGTTTTTATGTGGAACATTTGTTTGCAAGGATGCTATATTGTCAAAGTCATCTTTTAGCAACTTGATTTAAAGCCATTTTAGTGCTGCTGGCAGCTGCCTATAGTAAGGGCTATGAATTTTCTAAAGTTGTTTCTCATCAACTGCTGTAACGTTTGCCAGAAATGTGGAGGAGACCTTTCCCATTCTGATTACATGTAAATAGATTTTCCATCACATCTTCAGTGAAGTTACAGAGGAGATAGTGTCACACCTTAATAGACCTCACAAGTGTATTTGGGATTGTTGCTGACTAACAAATGTGTCAGAAACTGGGGTTATAGCATAACATAACACTGCATAAAGCCTGTCCAAAAGCAGGCACAGTGCAAGAAATAACCATTGTCTAACTGTACAATTAGACATTTTGGGGCCACATCTTTCAATTTTCTATTGCCTGCATTGAAAAGTATAGTCGTAAGTCTTCTGTCTCAGGCATGAGTCTTTCGATGAACATCCTGGACTCCTTACTAGATTGAGTAGATTTATCTACTGGGAAGGAAATCAGTTAACGTGACAGAAGGACTGAAACCTTTCTCAACTAAACAATTTCTATCTGGTTAAAATGTAAAAGAATGTATAGGTGCCAGACTAAAAAAAACTGACGTCAAAATTGATGACATATTTTGGTTGAAATCAAATAATGTTAAATGTAAAACCATAAGACATAGGAGCAGATGTAGGCTATTCAGCCCATCGAGTCTGCTCCACCGTCCAACTACTGATTAAAAATCTGTCTATCTCAGCCTTGAATATACTTAATGATTCAGCCTCAGCAGCCCTCTGAGGTAAAGAATTCACCAGATTCACTATGCACTGAGGGAAGAAATTCCTCCTCATCTCTGGTTTAAATGGACAACTCCTTCCTCTGAGATTAAGACCTCCAGTCCCAGCCTATCCCACAAGGGGAAAGGTCTTGCATGTTTCAATATGGTTGTCTCTCATACTTCCAAACGCCATTTAATACAGGCACAACCTATTCAACCTCTCCTCATCAGACAAATACTCCATACTTTAGATCAGTTTAGTGAACCTTCTTTAGACTGCCTCCAATGTCATATATTTTTTCCTCAGTTAAGGGGACCAAAGCTACAGTATTCCAAATGTGGTATAACTAGTGCATTGTAAAGTTTTAGCCAGATTTCCCAGTTTTTATAATCCATGATATAATGTCTGTAAAATGATGCAGGGTATGTGCTGTACATTATGCAGTCACTGGAAAATAAATCAGGCAGAGTATAATATAGAGATAGTAAGAACTGCAGATGCTGGAGTCAGATAACACGGTGTGGAGCTGGAGGAGCTCAGCAGGCCAGGCAGCATCAAAGGAGCAGGAAAGCTGATATTTCGGGTTGGGACCCTTCTTCAGAAATGAGTCCTCAGTAGTATAGTAGTTAGTATCCCCGCCTGTTACATGAGAGACCAGCGTTCAGTTCCCTGCTGCGGAGGATCCATAAGGGCAGAATGGCAGCTCAGTGGTTGGCACTGTTTCCTCACAGCACCAGGGACTTGGGTTCGATTCCACCCTTGGGTGACTGTGTGGAGTTTGCACATTCACCCCGTGTCTGTGTGGGTTTCCTCCCACAGTCCAAAGATGTGCAGGCTAGGTGGATTGGCAGTGATAAATTACCCATTGTGTTCAAGGATTTGTAGGTTAGGTGTGTTAGCCATGGGAAATGTGGGGTTACAAGGAATAGGGTAAGGGGATGGGTCTGGGTAGGATGCTGTTCGGCGAGCCAGTGTGGACATGTTGGGCCGTTTGGCCACATTATAGGGATTCTATATCACTGGGGTGGCACGGTGCCACAGTGGTTAGCACAGCTGCCTCACAGCGCCAGGGATCTGGGTTCGATTCCACCCTCGGGCGACTGTCTGTGTGGAGTTTGCACATTCTCCCCATGTCTACATGGGTTTCCTTCGGGTGCTCCGGTTTCCTCCCGCAGTCCAAAGATGTGCAGGCTAGGTGGATTGGCTATGCTAAATTGCCTGTAGTGTCAAGGGATGTGTAGCTTAGGTGGGTTACAGGGGGACGGGTCTGGGTGGGATGCTCTGAGGGTGGGTGTGGACTTGTTGGGCCGAAGGGATTCTATGATCGATGATAGGCTGCTGATTCACCTCTGCCAACAAACTGATATTTGCCTGAACTGAATTTGAACTTGGAAAAGGCATAATCCATTGATAGATGGGTTAAAATATAAGTAAGATCTATAATGTAAACATGATAACAAACTTCTGAAATGACAAATTAAACTTATTCAGAAATGTATTGAATCAGTGTAAAGTGAAGCATAAAATGTAATTACAGTATGTAGAATACAATTAAATATTTATGATTGTGATAATTCTGTCAACTTGACAGAGCTTGACATGAGCTCAGGATTGCTACAGTTTTAAGTAAAGACATGTAATTTTGGTATACCACTCTGAAATATGTTTCCCTAACAGTCATTTGAAGTGAGTTATAATTACTGTATTTTTGAAGATTCTTTGTGGATTATCTATTCTGTTTGTTGTATTTTTATTACAGAGTGCGCTGGCTGTGGAGATGAAATCAAACATGGACAGTCATTGCTGGCCTTGGAGAAGCAATGGCATGTGAGCTGTTTCAAATGCCAGTCTTGTGGTGTTGTGCTGACAGGAGAATATATCAGCAAGTATGTATGGTAGTTGAAAAATTCAGTATATGTAGTGAAAAGTGATTTAGATTCATTAACTATTGAAATGTTATCCATTCAGAAAGATTGATATGGTTACTGTTTTATATTTAATTCACATGTTCTGCCTAACTTCAATGAGCTCATAATTCGTTGGTACAGCATTGAATCTTCCTTGGATTTTCTTCTTTCTTTCCTGAAGAGACTGATTCATTGTAGAGTTCAGCCCCACAAATATTCTCTGCCCTTTCACCTAAGTTCCTGTTATTTTTATGTAAACAATGGAGTGGCTTTGACCCTTTGCTCCTCGGCCACAATCTGGCAGAACAGATCAACTTCCCACTGTCAAACTTGCTAAATTATCATCGAAATATTACTGCTCAGGCAGTGAAGGTTATAAAAAATACATCCCCGATTTGCTCCTCTGCCATCTGCAATGAATCTTGGCAAATTATTTTACCATGATGACTTGCGGCTTTGTTCATATCATCTATATGTTCATACAAGTGTAATCCCTTAGCTGAGGTCACTGAATACCAATCACTGTCAGGATCTTTTTCTTCCATGCCTGACTATGCAAACAATCTACAGTTCAGCACAAAAAAATATTGACTGTTGAGTTTCCTAGTATTTGTGCCATCGGTGTCTGTTGTTCAGTGCACTTAAAAAAAAGAGTAAAGCATTAGAAGAGTTTCAGAATTTTGATTTTATGAATGCAAATCAATCCCTAATAATAAGCCACTATTTTCTTCTTGCACATATAGTCACGCCCTTTGTTTTTTTTCTTTCATCTTCATTTTAATTGTTCCTTCTTGTGTGGAACATTCGCCCTTAATTCTCCCCTGACATTGTGGCAAGGAGATTTGCAAGCATTAAGAATGACTATGTCTGAGTTTCCAATATTCCACTGGAAAGATGACCCACAGTATTTTCCCAAAAAGACACAATTGTGATGTGAACCCGTTATTTAATGGCACAGTACATTAAAGATTGATGCACATGATACTGTGTTTTGAAGAAATTATCTATTCTCATGAACATTGTCACTAACGTATCCCCTTCAAACATATCAGGCAATATTCACTGGTCACAATAACAAAAAAAATGACTTGCAGCTACCATATATGTTTTTTTACAACCAACAGACATTTCAAAGCTCTTCATAGACAACTAAGTACATATTGAACACTCATTGCTGTAATGTAGGAAACTAGAGAACTTTTGATATTATGCTGCCTTTCAAAGACAATTAAATAGTCATTTGATTTTGATAGTCATTGCTGTGTTGTGGTGAAAGCAGTAGCCAATTTGTGCATGAGGTTCTGTAAGAATTTAGTAATTAGCTTTAGTAATATCAGCGAAAATTAAATATTGTCAGGAGACCTTCTTTCATTTCTTCACCTAGTGTCATGGGATTTTATTTTCACTTGATGCAGACTTCTGTTTAACAATTCACCCAAAACACAACATTTTGATAATAGAGTATTCCTTCTAGAGCTGGGATTTGAATCCAAAATCTTCTGATTCAGAGATAAGAATGCTACTTTGAGGCAAGGCTGCCAGGTAAAGATAGCTGATATGCTCCCTTTTAATCACCTGAGAAAAATTTAAGAAAATCTCCCTCTTACGTGTTCAAGCACTTGCACAGGCCCTCTTTCAAGTCATCTTCACACAATGCTCCACAACTTTCTAAATATTGGATGCTGGGACTAGACAGGTATACCTGCTATCTGCAATGCAATTGACAGAAAATGCAGCAGAGATCATGGTCATTTCATTAGTATTTCATTAGTAAATGTCCACACATACATGTGCAGATTTATCTTCTTAGGTCAGAAAGAGCTTTTTGAAAGCAGGTGAGCTGTACATCTCCAATTGGCATTGCATATTTATCCAACTCCAACTCTTAAGCTCCATAATAAAACCATCAGGCAAGAGATTAAAAGGCTAGTTAATCAAGTTAAACCATGCTTTTGAAAATGTGATCCAGCCCCACATATTTATAGCAGTATTACCTCTGATGTTTGATATTGGAAAAATAAATAGCAAACATAAGGAGCTTGTGTGTCTTTAAATGGACAGGAAGATTAAATGTCCTGAATTCATGTTGTTTCACATTAATACAGCTGATGCATTGAACAGCTTTGATCCTTTGCAGCTTTAAAAGAGGCAGCACATTTTGGTGTTGTCAAGTTTCTGTAATAGAAACCTGCATTTCAATTGCTCATGCTGTTGCAGTGTAAGAGCAAAGCCACTTATAGAGTCATACATTGACAGAATCCCAGTCTGAGAATAACAGTAAAGCATCTTGGATTGAAAATTAAGACAATCAAAATTTTGATGAAAAACGTAACTGATTTCCAGAGCCAAGAAGCTGTATGATGAGAAGGTCAGTATAAGTTGTTAAGTATCAATTTCCTTCTCTATTTCTCAGGGAAGGTGTTCCTTATTGTGAGACTGATTACCATTCGCAGTTTGGCATTAAGTGTGAGACTTGTGACAGATATATCAGTGGGAGAGTGCTGGAGGTAAGTGTCTGTTAAAAATAATAGATTTTCTTTTTATTGTAACTCTTGAAAGAAAATTCTACTTTAAGTTAGGTATTGAGTGATGACTGTAAGGTTCATTCTCTTCAATGCCATATTGCTCAGGGCCATAGGTACCCATCTGATAATTACAGGGTGGCAGAAGAAAGCTCAGAAGAACTAACCTGTTCAAGAGGTTAAGTAATTCTGCAGCAATAGTCTTGGAGAGAATGTAATATATGAACACCTCTCAATATAAACGTGAATTATATTATGTTCCCAATTTCCGTATGAAGAGAAAAGTTGAATTGAGCTTATTGCACATTTAGGAACATAGGAACAGGAAGAGTCCATTCATCCCACGAAGACTACTCTACCAGTAAATTAGATCAAGGCTGATGATATACGTCAATGCCACTTTTCCATGCGATCCCCATATTCGCTGGTGTCATTAGTCTCCAGAAATCTATGAACATCTGTCTTAAGCATAAAAATGATTAAGCTTCTATAGGCCTTTGGGGTACAGAGTTCCAAAGATTCACCACACTGAGTGAAGACATGCCTCCTAATCTCAAACTTGAATAGCCTTAACCTGTGATTATGTGCCCTGGTTTTAGTGTCATCAATCAGAGGAAACACCCTTTCTACATCCAAGTCAACATGTCATCAACAGTGCTATCGAGCAACATCTGCTCAGCAACAACCTGTTCAGTGACACTCAGTTAAGGTTCCACCAGGACCACTCAGTTCCTTACCTCATTTCAAACATGCACAAAAGGGCTGAATTCCACAGGTGAGATGAAAGTGACAGCCCCTGACATCAAGGCCGCATTCGACCGAGTATGGCATTTAGCAGCCTTAGAAAAACTGAAATCAATGGATATCAGGGAGCAGACTCTGATTAGAATCATACCTGGCACATAGGAAGATGGTTTTGTTTGTAGAGTCATACAGCGTGAAAATGCACCCTTTGGTCCAACTCGTATGTGCCAACCAGACATCCCAATCTGTTTTGCCCCATTTGTCAGCATTTGGCCCAAATCCTTCAAACCGTTCCTTTTCACATACCCATCCAGATGCCTTTTAAATGTTGTTATTGTATCTGTTGTTATTTCCTTTGACAGCTTGTTCCCTACACGCAGCATGTTCTGTGAGAAAAAGTTACCACTCAGGTCACTTTAAATCTTTCCCTATTGATCTTAAACCTATGCCCTCTAGTTTGGACTCCCCTACCTGTGAAAAAGACCTTGGTTATTCATCCTATCCATGCCCCACATGATGTTATAAACCTCTGTAAGTTCACTCCTCAGCTTTTGATGCTCCAAGGGAAAATAGCCCCTGTCTATTCAGCCTCCCTCTATAACTGAAACTCTCCAGTCCTGGCAACATCGTGTAAATCTTTACTGCACCCTCTCAAGTTTAACAATATCTTTTCTATAGAAGAGCAATCAGAATTGCATGCTGTATTCTAAACATGACGTCCCAACCCCTATACTCAATGTTCTGACCAAAGGCAAGCGTGCCAATGCCTTCTTCACCACCCTGTTCACCTGCGACTCCACTTTCAAGGAACTATGAACCTGCACTCTTAGGTCTCTTTGTTCAACAACACTCACGAGGGCCTTACCATTAACTGTATAAGTCTTGCATATGGTTCACCTTACCAAAATGTAACACCTCACATTTATCTAACTTAAAATCCACCTGCCACTCCCCGGCCCATTGGACAGTCTGATCAAAGTCCTTTTGGACTCTGAGATAAACTTTTTCCACTGTCCACTACACCACCTATTTTGGTGTCATCTGCAAACTTACTAACCATGCCTCCTATATTCATATCCAAATCATTTATATAAATGATGAAAAGCTGTGAACCCAGTACAGAACCTTGTGGCACACCCCTGGTCACAGGCCCCCAATCTGAAAAGCAATCCTGTACCACCACCCTCTGTCTCCCACCTTCAAGGCAATTTTGTGTCCAGTTGCTCCCCCTGGGATCCCATGTGATCTAACCTTACTAACAAGTCTACCATGCAGTAATCTCCGCTCCAGGAAATCTCTGCAAGAGTTCTTTAGGGTAGTGCCCTAAGCCAAACCATCTTTAATTGCTTCATCAATGGATCTTCCCTCCATCGTAAGGCCAGAATTGAGATATTTACCAATGATTGCACAATGATCATCACCATTCGCTACTCATCAGATACTGAAGCAGTCCATATTCAAATACAACAAGATCTGGATAACATCCAGCCTTGGACTGACAAGTGGCAAGTAACATTCACACCACACAAATCCAGGCAAGACTATCTCCAATTAGTGACAATCTAACTGTCATCCCTTGATATTCAATAGTGTTACCATCACTGAATCCCTCACCATTAATATCATTAAGGAGACTAAACTGCACACAGTACTCTAGGTTAGGTTTTACCAAGCCTCTATACAACTCAAAAAGCCATATTTATGCTTCTACAAAAATTCCATTGCAAGGAAGGCTAACATACCATTTGCCTTACAAATGCTTGCTGCAACCGCACACTAACATTTAGTGGTTCATGAATAAGGATACCAAGGAGCCTTTGGACACTCTCACTCCCATATCTTTCCTGATTTAAGAAATATCTGGCTTGCTGTTTTTTTTCTACTAAATACTATGGTTCTCCTTTATCTTCAAAAGCTCCAACAAGCTTATCAGACTTGGTATCTCTTCCATAAATCTATTGACTCTACCAATATTACTACTCATTTCTCAGTGTTCTGTTATCATGTACTTTATAAAACATTGTAACATTTTCTCTGCTACTGATGTCAAACCAACAGGTCTATAGTTCTACTATCTCCTTCTTCCATCCTCCTTAAATGGTACTATGTTTCTGTTAGCTTACATCCTTCTAGAATTTATAGCATTTTGATAGATAACCATCAATGTAACCCAATCTCTGTAGCTTATCTGATCCAGGCTATTTATCAATGTTCAATCCAATTAACCTTTCAAGTACACATCTTCACATTGTAATAATAATAATTGTTATTCATTTTAGTTCCTCAGGTTCACAGGTCCCTTGGTTGCCTAGTATTTCTGGGGGATTTTCTGTACCTTCTTCCATGTAAACAGTACAGAAGTAATTGCTTTTCTTTGCCATTTCCCTATTTGTAATGGGCTCACCTTTGTCCTGACTGTTCTTTTCTTTTTCTCATATCTAAAGTAGCTTTTATAACCTGATATTATATTCCTTGCTAGTTTGCATTCATATTGTCTTTTCCCTTTAACAAGTTTCTTGGTCCTCCTTTTCTCCATATCCTCAAGCTTACCACTTTTCATGGCATCCTTATAAGCCACTTTCTTTGATCTAATGCAATGTTTGTTAATCACAGTTGATTTACCTTTCCCTTTGGGTGTTTGAGCCTGAGAGCAGTATATTTATTTGTTGTATTTAAATACTAGCCATTATCTATTTATCGATCGTTTCACTGTGTTTTCCTAATCCACCTTTGTGAACTTGCCTCTCAAACCTTCATAATTTCCCTTTATAGATTTAAGACACTAGTTTCAGAATGAACGATATCATAATCAAACTTATTGGAAAATTCTTTCATATTATGATCACTAATTCCCAAAGGCTGCTTCAAAACTAGTTTATTAATTAGCTGTTTTCCATTGTACAATATGAAATCCAAAATAGCCTAATCCCCACATTCTAGAAATTCATTCTCCACAGCCTCAGTGCTGATTTGGTTGTGTGTAAGTTGAAGTCATCCAGTATTATTGTGTTACCCACATTTCATGCTTTTCTAACGTTCTGATTTCGACCTTGCTCAACATTACCAGTTTGATGACCCATCAACAATTCCCACCAATGTTTGCTGACCTTTGCTCTTTTTTAGCTCCAGCTGAACTAATTCTATATCTTGATCCTTTGATCTAAAATCCTCTGCTAGTGATGCACTGATCTAGACCTAGAGAGTCTCACCCCATTTCCACATTGTTTTTGCCTATTCCTCCTAAATGCCAAACATCCTTGGATATTCAGTTCCCAATTGTGGTCACCTATGGCTGTGTCTCTGTAATGTCTATTAAATCATATCCATTTACCTCAGTTTATGCTTTCAAATCATGAACCTTTTTGTGAATACCATGTATATTCAGATAGAATTTTAATTCTTTAATACCTTTTCTCAGCATTTTTCTTTGTTCTGATCTTATTTGGCGATTGCCAATACTTGGTCTCCAGTTTTTGACTTCTATTTTTCTCAATTCTGCTTCCTTCAGACCTGACCCCCCTCTCTCAAATTCCCAACCCTCTGCCTAACTAGTTGAACCCTCCCAACAGCACTAGTGAATTGCCCTGTGAGAATGTTGAACCCAGTCCTGCTGGCACAACTCACTGGGGTAGCTTATTGGAAATCAAGCCCTGCTCTGCCCTGAGGCATTAAAAAAGTTAATAATTTTTAAAAATAAGTATCCAAAATTCCCTAATTCACCTGATTTTCATTCCCAGGCTGATAGGATGCACAGATGAAGTTTCTGTAATTAACATGATCTATTATTTAATTTTAAGCAATTAGATTTTATCTGCAGATAAATAGTTAGAAACTATTAGCATATTAGTGAAACTCTAATCCCTATTTAAAATCCCCCACAAATAGACAGGGAAAAATAAGATATGCAAGAAGGAAAATTGGGAAGCTAGTTCAGTAGTTCTTCATTCCAAAACTGCTGCGATGATCCCTATGATTTTTAAGCTGTTCAGCCATCTGGATGCTTCCACAGGTTTGCCAGGAACATAAGGTGATTGGTTCACCTCCAAAAGGTCTTTGAATAATCAGTTAAAAATCACAGCTTATGGCAACTGCTGAAGGAAAAATTAACTGATTTTCATTAGGTTTAAAATGGCTTGGCTGCAGAGAACAGAGAGACAACTCCTAAACTGGCAGACATTAGATGTCAGGGGGATGAGGAAGGAGGTGAGCAGAAGGTGGAGACGGAGCCCAGAGAGATATGA